GTCAAACAAACCATTGCAGGATGCGACTCACACAATGAGTTAAAAAACCTGAACTATGCTGTCAACAGTGAAATGGACCTCGCAGCGCAGAATGTAATCTGCGGTGTAGGAGGACACTAGGATTAGAATTCTGTTCTCGACTATGTCACTTATTTTTCAGTCGGCCCTGACGTGAATCGTTTCAGCCTGTACTTCTCCTGAATTTAAGTGTAGTAGTCTGTCTCTCCTTTCTAAAATTGCTTTAGGATTTATGAATGTTTGGTGTTACATACTTGTACAAATAAGAGTCTTATCATTGGAAACTTAGAATTGTTTGGAAGCATGCAAAGTTTGATTTTTGATATCTTTCCTTGAATGGGCCTTAACAAAATCTTGATGTTGCTTTCAGGGAGCTCGAATGGTTCGTGAACTCTTTGAAATGGCTAGAACTAAAAAAGCTTGCCTTATATTCTTTGATGAAATTGATGCCATTGGAGGTATGTTTGTGGTATGCTTAGCTCTAATCTTGTATGAAAACCTTCTAAATTGTCTTTTCACGTTGTAATTCTTTACCTGGATTGCTGCATTTCGGCAAATGTGCTTGTAATTGTCTAAATAGCTAGCAAAACTAGTATCAGTGTGGACACATCTACTGTTTAAGAAACCATTGAAGTGGTTTATGTAGCTTGAAAATATTTAGCCCAGATGAGAAATCATTTTCTGCATATTTGGAACACCCAGATGATTTAAAGTTAGCTGAAAAAATCTCTGTACAGTGTTCAAAAAAAGCACTGTTAGCTTAAACCTGCTTCAAGTTCTGTACCGTGTACTTAATCTTTCATACCGCCTGAAAATGAGATGAATTTATTTCCCCAAAGGAAGTGCTTAAGCCCTTTGGAAGCAGAACAATTTTTACACAGGCAAAGGCTGGAGGAGTTTGGTTGAGGGGAGGAAAAAAACAAAATACGTTCATAAATTACAGCAGCTTGGTCACTTACTGGACAGGGAGATACACCCGTTAATATTAAGGGTAAAGATACAGTGCTTATAATCAGCAGATAATACCACTCACTTTTTGGGTGAAATATGTCATTTTCCGTTAATCCTCTCTCATCTTTTTTAAACTTGTCACAAATACTTGCTTGTAACTTCAAGCATCTTCCACGTTATCTTCTATACAGCAACTGTGTTGACATCTCTGCCGTGCTCTGAAGGTCTCTCTCTCTTATTTTGTAAAATACATGTGTCTCTTTTTTTTGTAAAATGTCTCCTTGCAGGTGCTCGTTTTGATGATGGGGCAGGGGGTGACAATGAAGTGCAACGTACCATGCTGGAGCTGATCAACCAGTTGGATGGGTTTGATCCGCGAGGCAACATCAAAGTGCTGATGGCAACAAACAGACCTGATACTCTGGATCCAGCACTGATGAGGCCTGGGAGGCTGGATAGGAAGATAGAGTTTAGCTTGCCTGACCTTGAGGTCAGAATGCTTTCTTTTCATTGTTAAGTATATTCTCATATCAAAGTTTTTCTTCACTTAGAACATTATTCTCTGGAAGCAGTTTAGAAGACAAAAATGGCACTTTTGTGTGTAACATACAGATTGAAGATATTTCAAAAAAGTTTTCCCACATTGCACAGATTCCATCCCTGTCAGGGAAGCCATGGAAAAAACTCCATTCACTGTATGTTTCTGACCCAACAGATAAAGAATCCTTTAACCAGCTCCATGATTTAGTTCTGAAGCTGGAGTGTGGTTTGTTTAGCTCCTTTGAGAGAGATTTCTTGTGGTACTTCTACCATTAAAGCTCTTTTACTTGTTTTCTTAATTTTGTTTCAAGAACACTTAGTTCTGTGTTGCTCACACGTTTTTGTCCAAACATCAGAAACGGAAGTTAGGCAACAGATAGATAGGAGTTTTATTTTCCATCTGGCCTGGCTCTGGATGGTGGACAGCTGCACAGTGATAGCAGGTCAAATCGTGTCCTCTTCCATAGTGTCAACGCTTCTATCCTCCAATCTTTTCTAGGGAAGAACTCACATATTCAAGATACATGCTCGTTCCATGAGTGTTGAAAGAGACATCAGATTTGAGCTGTTGGCTCGACTGTGTCCTAATAGTACAGGTAACTTTTTTTTTTTTTTTAACAATTTTGTGTGTTTCCCATTTCCGTTTATGATTGGTGTTGAATTCATGTATCCCTTTCTTTGAAAGGAGCTGAGATTCGCAGTGTCTGCACAGAGGCAGGCATGTTTGCCATCCGAGCACGTCGAAAAATCGCAACAGAGAAAGACTTCTTAGAAGCTGTGAACAAAGTCATTAAATCGTATGCGAAATTCAGTGCTACCCCCCGCTACATGACCTACAACTAATATGTTGGAATGTTTTTCCTGTTTCTATTGTTAAACTTCCTATGAAACAAAAGTCCATGTGTACTAATTCATACCTTATTCGTGGAAGCTAGAAATAAATGGCGTGTTCCAAATAACAGGTGAGTTTGTTTTGAATGTGTTCTGCACTAGTGGAGTGTTGCTACTCCAGGAAAAAAAACCCAGTGAAAGGCCAGTGCTGCAACCAGCAAGATGTTTCTAAACCAGATATCTGAGCGCTGTTTAACTGTGAAGTTTAGATTCCCAGGCCTCATGTACACCTCAAAACTTAACATGTATGCTGGGGAAGCACTGAAAGATCCCTGTGACGGCAGTGATTCTGGGTGTGCTCAGAAATGCTTGCTTGATGCTAAGCAGTAAGGTACAGGTGTAGACTGAGAAAATTACTAGGAACCGCACAGGAGAAGAACTGAGGAGGAGACACTGGTACGTCAGCCCAGGTGCTTAGTGGTCAGACATTGCCCAGCCCAGCTTTTGTTGAAGTTCTGTTTTTTATGAAATAAGTGCTGGATCAGGAGGGAGGAAGAAGTGAGTGTGATTTCATAGCCCGGAGGAATGAAGGATTCCTTCCTCCCATTACTGCTCTAAAAAATTTTAAAGTTTGACATCAGTCTAAATGTGCTAGTAAGCACTTTGCTGTATCGTATTGCTTGTCTAAGGTGCTGCTATGCACAGAATATGATCCTGATAGCGTCCTGATGCACTGGTGGTGGGGCAAGTAGCTGGCAACATCGAAAGGCTGATAAAAATGACGTTGCTGGTTATCTAGCATGTTTCAGCAGCTTTTCATCACTGGAAAAATGGAGTTTGAAGAAATCCTAGGAATGAACAGCTTCTTGGGAACTGTTTTGTCTTGAAGTGAAAGAAATTTTAGCAGGTTTCAACACATCCGATACCAGTTTATCAGTCTCAGATTGTCAGATCCACCTTTTTTTTTTTTAAAGGGGAAATGGGAACAAAAGGAAAAGATGTTTCT